CTGAAGCGGATACATATAGAGTGTCCCAAAAAAACCGACCCCCTCTAGTGGGCCGCAGTCAGGTCCGATTGTGACGATTTAGATCTCAATCGAAAGCTCTCGGAAAAGCGTGCAAGCAAGCACCTTTCGTTTTTCAATATAGCCATTTTAACTAACTAAATTTAGGACAATTTAGGACAAAATCCGCAGGTTAATCGCTTTTTAAAGCAAACAGGATGACGCTGACATTACTCTTTTTGAACAAATCGCTGAATATTGCGCGCAGGCTCAAAAATTTTGTAAGACGAACAGCACTTGTTTTCTCGCCTTGCCGAGGGCTTTCGAACGGTCTAAAAATCATCCCGATCCGACCTTTCTCGAGACCGCTAGAAGGGGTCGACTATTTTGGGACACTTCAAACTTTTCAAGCCCAGACTTCCAGATTTCAAATTAGCTTTCGGTGGACAACCAGAAAGAATTACAACCTATGAGCCTATTTTAGTGACTTGCAGTAAGAAATATTTTCCGCATGGGCACTGGGTACTTTCGTATTTGCCTACATAACTTTGCATCCTGAATTGGCGAATAGAAAGTAACTACAAAGAAAACTGAACAAAGCGCCGTTCCTCTCGGCCGGGCCCTATCCGGTAATTTATCATTATCGCAACCGATCCATAACTATTCGAGAATGCGGCGCTCGTGCGGTTCTGCTCTGCTCCTTGCCATTTTCCAGCTCGCGACTGCCCTTCAACGAGCCACAGATCCGAACGACGTTCTGAACGACTTGTTCAAGAAAGATGTCGTGGGGAATGGGCTTTGAACACCAATCAGACAACCGTTCAGTCGATTCCCGGCCTCTTTCTCCAAAATTGTTTGGGCACTGAGGAGGAGGAGGATATGCAAGAATTTTGTCAGGTGTATTTTTGGCCTTTGCGTCGTGGTTTGCGGAATACGAACAAACATCACTCATGCAGAATTTTCCCACTTGTTCGAAAGCTGATTTCAGAAATTCCAGAATAACTTAATTTAAAAGTTAGTGCGTATTTTGGGAGCTTTGGGCCAGAAATCACAACAAGGCAAAAGAAGGCCATGTTGCCATTTCTGAAACCAGGCTCGGAATCAGGAAAAAATGCCCAAGCTAACCTTGGTCTGATCTCGAAAACTGCCCTCGTTTATTTTCGAAGTTCGTTTTCAGAGAGCGCAAAACGTATGCAGCGATCGCTTGGAGCTGTCAAAAGCGACGCTATGCCGGGAGATCAACGATCTGTTAGCTCATCTACGCGGGTAATAGGCCAAACCCGGCTGCCCAGAAAATTCCTCACCCCCCCCTAGCCATCCACCGACGTACCCAATTTTTACGTGTTAGGTATTTATGGAAAGCGCTCGACGAGCTAGCGTTCTGTTCCGGCATTTTCCTTACATTTACGAACGTTTTTGGGAACAGGACCGTATTTCCGATGTCTAGCGATAAAAGGGTTTTTGACGAAAATCAGAATTTATAGTTTTTCACATTTTCTAGCAGCCCGATGACAGCTTATGAAAGTTTTTTGAGAAAAGTGAACTTGAATGTCGCTTTGCCTGATTGTCTTGACTTTTTGGAAACAGGTCCGTCCGTTTTGCCGAAAAAATATCGAATATCGAGCAAAAATTCGAGAATTTCGAAAATTTTCATTGCATCATTATCATCTTTTCAACTTTACGAGGGCTTTTGATAGATACCTAAACCGTAAAAATCGCACACGTCGGCGGATCGCTAGGAAAGGAGGGGTGTTTGGGACACCCGCTACTTCCCTTCAGCAACGACAATCCGGCCGCCTACGCGGCAATATGCGGAGCCCAGGACTACCCATCCATCTACTGTTCGCATTTGATCGAAGAATCTGTCTACAATGTAGGATTCGTATCCCAAGTGGTTACAGCTGGCTTGTTCTCGCTGGAACTGATCAGCTCCATGACGTTTTAGGAAACCAGGGGCCGTCCGTTCTACATGAAAATGGTTGGCGAGTACGCGACCCGGGAAATATTGCAGCCGGCATTTCGGGAACTTCTCTACGATGTGGGTGGATTTACGGTTTGCAGATTATCGCGCTCACATCTGCTTCGCAATCTATTTTCGGTTCTGGACTGTTGGAGCGGGGTGGAGAAACAAAAACGGGGTTTCCTCCCTGCTACAAACCCGGCCCCCCCCCGGCTAACAGTCCAGTACCCGATTTTCTATCAAAACCGCGATACGATAGGTCGTTGCAGCTTTACGACGATTTCAACTACGGCGACATCTCGGCGGTGTTCCTCTGGCCAAAGCTGTGTATGACGATAGTTGGCACGTGGAATCGGGGCAATGCGTTTCTACATGATTTTTGTATGGTTCGTCTTTAGCCTTCCTTAAACGAGGATGCCAAAATTCGAGCGTTCGGTGATCGACCCTATCGGTCAAAAATTGGCTTCCTTTGCAGAAATGGACCACGAATTGCGCGCGGCGGGCGCACTATTGTGGTCAGAAAGATCCGAAACGTCTTGACGGTTGCCGACCCCCTTGAAACGCTTATCATGAACTTTTTAGGAGATCTCGTTCGGCTTCTTCTTCCATATGTGCAAGCCACATCCGACCGCTAGTGAGCGCGCGTACTGCTTGAAGGAGATGCTGCCATCGTATATATCGCTGGTCGGCATCTAATTTTTAACCTTGAACCAGTTGTTTCCCAGTTTTCGAAGCTAACTAAAAATTAGAATATTGAAAAAATTGCAAAAAAATTCAAGACAGAAGCGTCCGAATCTCGGCGTCATCGACATCTGTCGAGTTTGGCATTAGGAAAATTACTTTCGATCGCATCCGAAATTGGAACAGAGGCGTATCAGACCCTACGTAACCGCAACACCGCGCTATAGCCGCATAGCTACTTGATTTTGCGAGATACCACAAAAATTAATTTTATTATTGGGTTTTTGGGGTTTTGTCGGAAGCGACCGGCGTAGAACTTGTTAACTGCGGTAGCTATTTGGGATGTAACTCAGGATGGTGGCTATCTTGGGCCTGATTCACCTCTGAGTGAATTTTGAGTCCGGGGCAAGACGTCTAAATGCTTGAGCGCTGGTTTTTGCGACAATTCAATAGCTGTAAACGTTCAATTTTCCCGCCTTGATTTGACCAAGCCATTTTCTTAGTTCCTGGACGGCGGTCTGGGCATGTTTTATACGGTTGGCCGCGCTGCGCTGAACTTTGTGGTGAGTCAGTTGTAACCGACTTGCAAAACTCCTGCGCTCGTTAGGAAGAGTACGTCGACGGGTTGCCGGCCGAGATCTTTCAGCCCCTTTTTGACAGCTGTCGGATCGACCAATTGTTGGAATTCGATAACCGAACGTACCCACTCTGCCGGGTTTGTGGAACTTTTTCTTCGTTGAGTTGAAGCACACATCTAGGCCTTGCACCATAGCCGGAACCCGCATCGGCAATCGTGTAAAGATGGGGACAGCTGCACCGGGGTCGCCTTTCCGGAGTGCTATTCGGCGAGTTACCCCGTTACCAAAGTTTTACTTTTTGCAAACTGGTTACCAGATTTTTTTAATTATTTAATTCGAGACGTTATAACTCACAAATTTAGCGAGATGCGACCGATCTGACCAAATGTACTGCCGAGTGGCGAAAATATTGCGGGAAGGGCAGTGGCGCAAACGAAGTGCGGTGCAATGTACTACGTGCTGCCTACTTCAGCAACCAGGTTACGATTTCCAACTTGTTAGTACGATAATTATCTGAAAGCTATGCAAATGAGGGTGTAAAAAATTCGATCAGAACCTTTATGCTTGGTTTTAGACTCACTACCCGTCGAGCGCAACGAACTGCTCGGATCCGACCGGCAAAATGCACTGTTCGTGGTCCCTGTAAGTAGATTTGGCGGTAGTTCGTGTGTTTTATTGCGTCCTAATTGTTCGCTAAGGTTAAGCCCATGGTTGGAAACTGCTTCGCGGAGTTTCAAACAATTTCACGACCGCTCGACTTAATACTTTTCTTGTTTCTTCAAAATTGCATTAAATTCTTTTCAGTGGCTCCTGCCGCCTGTATGTCGAATACATCTGGGAGATGGAGAGAAAGCTGGGAGACCGGGCGGGAATCGATGGAATGGAGCATAAGGCTCAACAGATCTGCCAGCTGCACCCCGGCTACGAGGACTATGCCATCTACTACATCGGGTGGAAGCCAGAAGAATCAGCTGATGCTCCTCAAGCCACCGACGCGCCGCCGGGCGGCCTTGACGATCTGGATGAAAATGTGGCTGCCTATCTTGTTTCCAGTAGAGTAGATGAGGTGACAGTAGCGGTTTTAAAGCTAAATGGTCTCCAAACCGGATGTACAAAGTCACGACAGCCTCGTTAGTACCTCGCTGAGTTGAGCTTCAGTATTTTCAGAACAACACGACCTCCCCGGAAGCGAAGCAAATCGATCGAATTGCAGCCAAATTGCCACAGGACTGCCACGAGGCACAAGTATCTGGCAAACGACGTGACGACGGCTTCGATACCGTTAAATGCGACTTCATCATCCGAACTTTTGTGGATGTGCTTGGGCCGGTTTGTTTTATGACTTTCCTGAGCTGCATAGTTTTGCAGCAAGTCTATGAGCGGCTTTGCATCGACGCGAATATCACCGACACGATGCCGATATATTGTCGTATTCTCTACCAGGTAAGCGTAAGCGTAAGCGTATGCCTAAGCCAAAGCCTAAGCCTAACAGTAGTGATCGCATCTTATTTTTTAGTATATCCATCACGACACCACCGATCGTTACGTGCCCGAGATTGAGGACCTAAGACAGGCTGAGGCGGCCAAGCAGAAAGTCCCCGAGCCCCGTGAGATTGACGAATGCGTCGGAAACGGTTTGATGCTGTGAAAATAACAGAATTCACGCTTCAGCCAAGCTGGCTTGCCGAGCCCATTTTGTGGCCGAATGCAGTGTGAGTGGGGAGAGATGCCGGGTAGGTTTAGACAGCAAAAGTTCGAAGCTCAATGACTTTCTAGGCGCTCTGCGAGAAGCACTTCCGGCGCTGCATCAACGCGACGCTGGCCATCTGCGATATTCTGTGGGAAAAGGTAATCGGCGTTTTGCGAATTCCTCTTGTACAAATTGAATTGAAAAATATGGTATCTGATTTACTTGCAGGCCCCGCGCGAATTCGACACGCTTGCTGGCCAATTTCTACAGCCACGAGTGCATGGGCCACTCGCATATTGTCGCTTCGGACCGAAAGTACTGCAGCGTAAGTCGTCGAATTTTGTCGTAATTTCGACCGCTAATTTATTATTGCAATTTCTTATTCCTATTTCTTATGGCTTATTTGGCTTTGCAGAAAATCATCGACGTGTGCTCGCGGCGCGACTCGAAGGCTTGTCGTTCTGTGGGCCGAGCTGGCGCCGTCAAGAGGAGGTTGGCAGTTGCTTACTCAAAATTAAAAATATTCAATGCCTCAAGATTTCCGGTCTGTTAAACACATACAAATTTAGCACCGGACAACGTTTCACCATCTACATCATCGGCTTCGGGCCCCTGGCTTTCCTTCTTCTTGGACTTTTTTGGGTGGGAGCTACAGGATCCCCTCTCACTAGCGGTCCTCCAACGAGTCTCATTTTGACGAGCTTGGTATGTATCAAAAGCTCTCGGAACGGCGCGTCCGGCATTCGTTGCGTTCCGACTTTCGAAATGCATGAATTTTTGCTCAATTTTCGGCGCTTTTCATGTCATTTTCATTCGGAAAACTCAATTTAAACATGCACCAGTCAGGCTGGGTTTTCTCACCAAGTTCTGAAACCATAATTTGTCAAAAAAACCTTTATCGTTAAAGCACCAGAAATTCGGTGACTTTCGCAAAAATATTAGTAAAGATGAAAGGTAAAAGTCCTTTCCAGTGCTTCCCGTACGCGGAGAGCTGGTACCTCCGCCGGCAATACCGCAAATACGAGGCCGAGCTGCGGCTGTTGAATTCGAAATCCCGGGCGGTCGCCTCCGAATCCACGACGATGTCGATGGCCACGGTGATGAGCGCGTCGACGAGCATTTCGGTGGTCAAGTCGAGGCCAAGGTCGTAGTCCAATCCGAAAAGCACGTCGACGACGAAACCGAGCTCAAATGGGATATCGTCGCCCAAGTCAATGTTTCTATGCCATGTTTTGTCTGGTATTAATGATGCTCGATTTGTACCAAATGATAGCTCTTGAATAAACGCTATTTTCCTCCTTCCACTGAATCAGAATTTTTTAATGTATTGCCTTTTGTTTACAGACTACGAATTCGTATGTTCAAAATTATTTATTTACAAATTTACAAATCGCTTCGCACGAGTTTTGCATCAGGTGCATTAAAAGCTGAAAGCTTAAGGCAAAGAAATGCAAAAACATCTACAGGGTGTCCCATAAAAAAGCACCCTTCCGCCATTTCGCCGTATTACATCCGATCGGTCCGAAATTTCGACCAGAGGTGTATCAGACCCTAAATAACCACAATCCTGACTTATAGCCCGCCGGCTACAGTAATCTTCGAGATACAACAAAAATAAACTTTAGTATCCGTTTTTCATATGGTTTTCGTCGAAATCGACGCTTCGAATATTAAGTGAAAATGAAGCGGCAAGCCTGCTTTACCCCTAGAGATTTTTTCTGATAAAAATTAGTGAAATAACCGTTGATTTCAACAATTTTTGTAACGCAAAGTCACCCCCGATATTAAGCGAAATTAGGGATTCGCAGCCGGAAGTCGATGCAAATCGATGCAAAGTTCAAAAGATAGCCGAAAAACTGTTAAGAACCGCGTCAAAAAAAACAGTATTTTGACGATAAATCAAAAACTACTGTAGCGCTCGGTCTAGAAGTCAGGATTGTGGTTATTTAGGGTCTGATACACCTCCAGTCCAATTTTGGGACTGTTGGGATGTAATACGGCGAAATGCCGGAGGGGTGCTTTTTTATGGGACACCCTGTACAACCAGCCAAAAAAATAGAATTTTGGCTGGGCTTTACTTACCTCCCCCTCAGTCAAAAGTTCCGAATTTTTTTCGACATTTCTGCATTTTTGTCGGGACTTTGGATACGCCATTTGATAGAGCATCAAAAAATATATATTGGGAATTTTAAATTCCAACTCAAAGTAATATAAAAAAAATCATTTTCCGACAGCCAGTTGGTTTTTGGAAAATCAAAATTTTGAAAGATTGCGATTTTGTACCCAATGCGGCCATTTCAATCTGAAAGCTGGGGCAAAATTTTTCGAGAATATACTTTTTCGAAAAAACCTATTTTTGGCAAAATAATTGTCAAAAAATTGCCCGTTAAAAACCGCGATTTTCGCATACATGATTTCCCAAAATGTGTTTCCAAATCCCGTGTAATCTGCCAAATTCATCGCGTTTAAATTATTTAAAAATTTATGCAAAATCACAAATGGGGTCAGGCATAGAATTTTTCTGCAAACTACGAAATACAAAACGCTTAATCAGCCGATATGATGACGCCTGGCTGTTTTGCTGTAAAGGTCAAAATTCTGCCGTCCGTCGGCCGTCGAATCGTCGCCACAAAATCGTCGACATGGTGCACATCATAGCGGTTGAGGCCCCATTTCACGGGCAGTATTTCTCGTACATCGCCCGGCCTCAGCTCAAACACAATCCTCTCGATCACACGCTTATGCTGGATCCACTCGTCGAGCAACATCTTTAGGTAGTCGCTGCATTCGCGCGACATTCCCAAATTGTGCAGCCATAGCTTCAGGTTTTTGAACTGTAGGAACCATATGATATTCTCGCGGGATGTCGGTACTGAATATTGAAGCACCTCGGTCGACGTCTCGATAAAGGCTTTTGCTTCTTGGGAGACAAGGGCTCTGGCGGCGCTCAAGGCAATTTTCCGGAACTTTCCGCGGTGGGGTTTGTACTTTTCAAGCAGTTCGGCCGTCCATAGGTCAGCCCAATTCAGCACGAGCTCGTCAGCGATCATGCTGGGCAGAAGATTATCGTGTCGGGGATAAGTTAGGCATAGTTTCCCGGCCCGCGCACCCTTTATGAAGTTACGCCAAACGCCGTGGAGTTGGTAGATGCCGTTGCGCACTTGACCATGATTTATAGTGGTCACTCCATCGTGGCATCCACACATTGTGACCTTATCGAAGTAGCGTGGGCTTGAGCAGACGAACTCCCAAGTTGTCCGACTCGAGATGGCAAAATGCGATGAGGGCATCGAGATCGTGGCCCAGGTATGCGATGATGAGCTGCTGCACGTACTTCGGCAATTTCGGGAAGTCCAGCACCTGAAGATGAACGCTAAATAAATCCTTCAAGACTTATTACAAACACTACAAACAAACATGAATTTCAAGCGGCCCTGTTTTTAGAATTTAGTTTGAAACTTGTATTTGCCATGTTTTCTAGTGATTACGCGGATCTTTTCTAGGTATCGTAGCTTTTCCTATTAAAAAATTCACAAACATTTCGAGGACTCTGCTCAGCGACGTCATTCAATGTCAAATTCCGCATCATCGGAATTAGCGCGCTGGGAGATTCGAGGTCGTGCATTTTCTGAAAATATTCCAGAACTCGATCAGATTCAATTTGAAACGATGAAAAATTAAGGCAAAATGGGAACGGCGGAATTTAAGGTAGCCCTGATGGTGGGGCACGCGAATTGGTGCGATGGTGCAGGGAGGACATTCGAAAGTCCTTTCGAAAAGGCAGGGGCGCCGCGATTTGTATAAGTGTTCCCTGGCTGCGCGTTGCGAAATCAGCAAAATCTCTGAGATCAGGATTTGCAGCTACGTCTCTCAAAAATCTATGTCAGCGGATCGCAAAAATGACGTCTGGTTGTATGCATGCCTAATGAAGGGATCTAGGCTCGGGCACCATTTGACCTAGTTCCCCTCCCCCCCGGGCCCCGGGCCAAAGGGCTTTGGACTCCTACTAAAAGGTTTCCCAGGAAAGCTTTGCCGAATGTTTTAATGAATGGTTTGAAAAACTACCTAAAAAACGGAAGTACGAATGCAAATACATGGTATCCCAAAAAAAACCCCTCGGCATTAGGCTGTCTGCCATCCGATCGCGACCAAATTTTTAACTGTGATTGGACCCATAAAAATTACGTGCATCCAAATTTTCTAAGCAACTTATTGTAAAACAAAAAAGTTCTACTGAAATTAAAGTTTATTTTGCTGATTTCACCGGGATTTTGATGGATTTGGGCCTGGAAATGTTTAGCAAAAATGAAGCGCGCTTTTTCCACCCGGAGCAATTTTTTGATCTAAGAAAATTACGTCTAAATTGGGACTTTTCATTACTTTTCATTATCAAAATTGGCAGAAACCAACCCGAAAATGACCATTTTTGGGAAAATGACTCAAAATCGGCATGCTAATTGACAAAAATAACCAAAAATGAATACCAGCGTTTCCCAAAATCAATTTTTTAGCAATCACGTTTTGTATTACAAAATTTTGTTTAGAAATTCGGCTGCACATAGTTTTTACGGGCACCCAGCACTGGTAAAAATTTGGTCCCGATCAAATGGAAGACGGCCAAATGGCGAGGGAATCGCCTGTACAACATTAGAAAAATTAGGAAGCTACCAATGAAAATTTTCTATAATTTTTTCATTGTGGGTGTTCAGAATCTTTCATCATATCTTTTTACTTGCTCCAAAAAGCCCTGGAAAATTTATTTAATCACACACAATATAAAAATTTAACCAGCGGATATGATTACGCCTGGCTTTTTCGTTGTAAACGTCAAAATCATCCCGTCGCCCGGCCGTCTAATCGTCGCCACAGAATCGCCAACATACTGCACGTCGTAGCGTTCGAGGTCCCATTCCCTGGGTCGTATGAACCGTCGTCGGACCCCCAGCTCGAACACGATCCTCTCTATTCTACGCTTGTGCTCGATCCACTCGTCGAGCAACATCTTCAAATAGCTGCCGCATTCCTCCCGCATCTTCGAACTGTACAGCCATAACCGCGGGGTTTTATACTGCGTGCAGCACATGACAAATTCTCCTGATGTCGGCACTGGATGCCGAAGTTCTACGGTAGACGTGTGGATGAAATCGATCATTGCTTGGGGAACAGGGATGTGAGCGTTCAAAGCAATTTTCCGGAACTTTCCGCTGCAGGGTTTGTACTCATCAAGCAATTCGGGGGTCCATAGGTCTGGCAAATTTAGGTCGAGCTCTTCGGCGCGGAGGCTTGGCAGTATGTTCGCTTGCCCGGGGTAGGTGAGCAACAACTTCCTGACCCGAGCACCCCTCAGGAAGTGACGCCAGGCGCCGCAGGTCAGCTCATAGATAAAGCGCCGGACTTGGGCATGGACGATGCTGCACGCTCCTTGGTCCAACGCATACATGATCACCTCATCGAAATAGCGTGGACTCGCGCAGACGAGCCTCCAGGTTGTCCGGCTGGAGAGGGCGAACGCGATCAGGGAATCGAGATCGTGGCCGATGCGGCTGATAATGAGCTGTTGCACGTCTCGCGGTAGATCGGGGAAGTTGAGCACCTGGAAAAGGAGTGATACCTATTCGGACCTGTAGCAGCTGAATTTGTAGTTGTTATTGGGGCTGGACTGTTAGCGGGGGGGTACGCGGGGGAAACAAAAAACATTTTCTGCGACCCTATGACAAAATATAGACCATTTAATAGCATTATACTTAGTTTTTAGATATCAAAACCATATAAAAAACAACAAAAAGTTTCGAAAGTTTTGATGCATTTTCGAAAATGTATGAAAAATGCCCAAAAAATGTCAAATGTTTCAAAAATTTCAATTTTTTTTATAACTTCCTAGCAATTAAAAACTACTAAAAACACTATAAAAAAATACACAATATGGCCTCAACCGGTAGGTGTAGGTAGAAAACAGGAAGTGGTTTTCCCCTGCTAAAATCCCCCTCCCCGTTAACAGTCCAGAATCATCTCCTTCGTGTCATAGAGGTGTTCGACATGAAACCTTGATGATACTTGCCAGTTTACCGTCCACAGTTTAGCATTTATTTTTTTGTCTTTATGCCCCTACTTATGCGGGTTTTTTATACAATACCTCTTTGATCCGTCT